CACTTCATGCACACAAGCGGCCGAATGCGATTCCACCGGCCCAGCGGTTGCCTGCGATGGCCGGGAGCTCAAGCTTTGGGGAATGACCCACGCATGTCCGGCCTGTGTCAAGCAGCTGGCTTCCCAGGCCTGCGTGTTCAAACCCGTGTACGCGGGTTCAGCCAAATGCGGCCCCGGCCCATTTCAAAAACACCCGAACCCGGAAGGGCGTCCTGAGCATGTCCCGCGTGAGGTTGGGCAGCGAGCGCTGTGCCCGCCGCAGGACCTCAGGGTGAAGCATAGCGCAGTGTCACAAGCCTAGGGCCCCTGCATAGAAAAAATAAACGGCACGACATGACTAGAACCCAACTCAGACCACATACGGTCATAAACAAACCAGTCTGTCATCAAAAACGTGGGAAAAAGTGTGCTTAGTTGAAGGAAAATCTAAAGAACGTCAACCTTTTGCGAAACGCCAATTGTCATGAAAGTATCCTCTTTCAGGGCACCCTTTTCGGCTGGAAACGGGCTTAACCCCATGTTATTTGCCACGGGCTTCTTGATATCCACACCTATGGTGGCAAGGAGCCTATCTGCGACCTTCATCCACCCAACCCTCGCCTCCTTGCGCGTGTAATCGTCGACGCTGTAGCTGGCAGGCCTCGGTGCACCGACATCCCGTATGGAGCAAGCCCCACGAATGGCACGAGTAACCGGACTTAGGCCAGCGCCCTGGCGTGTCGGCAGGCGGCCGAGCCCAGACAGGGTACCTGCAAGGACTCTGTGGAGTCTGACCCATGAAAACCAAACCCAGCTGCCTCTTTGCCGAGTACTTGTCCAGGTGCTCTTCCACGATGCGCTCGCGCCTTGGTCACACTCAAGCCAAAACTGCAAACGCCACATGCTCCGTCATGGACCGATGCGCGCGGAACTGACGTTTTTTGGGTGCCGGCGACATCCTCACAGCACACTTCTCCAAGACGGTCTTCTGTGGATAGCGTCCAGGTGCTGGGATGTCGTTCTGCCAGCACAGGCCAGGCCCCAAAAATGACTGGCTTCCCAACATCGGAAAGTCAGGTCCACCATGTGCTGCCCAAACCAACAGACCAGTGCTGTCAGTTTCTCATGCGACGCTTGCACTCGAGTCGTTGCGCAAACCTTCCCATATCGGCTCCTTGACCCTGGTCACTTCATCTAGGAATGAGTCGCGGTCGCGCTTGTTGAACTCGCCTCGCAAGTTCCGCTTGACGTGGCCAATCAGGCAGCCACATCAGCATGTGGCCATGAAGCGATCGCTCGCATGCCTCCACTTGGCTGGTTCAGCTTGTCGCCGTTGGGCAGCAGCGGTGTATCGTAGCCTCGGTGGCGCCATGCTTTCGCTGATTGGTGGGCTTGCCAATTAACTGGACAAAGACTTCTTGAGGCCGATGTCCCGGCTTAGACCCAGACTGCCGGGTGCAGGGTTGTGCTTTGTGCCCTGAGTTCGCGATACTTGCATACCCTAGCGCATGCGTCTTGGCAAGCTAAAAAACGGTCGCAGCCCTGCCTGAATGGCCACATCCACCAGCCCTGGAACCTAGCGAAGCCGCGCGTTCCAGAGCGCATTGGTTCGTGCTCTGCTGGCAACCCACGCCTTTGATTTGCCGATGCGCGCCGCCGGCAGCTCGTGGAGGCAGGTGGGCGGCGCCTGGACTTCATTCGTTGGGCGACCGCTCGGACGCCCCGGACGCCCGGACGCCTCGTAGGTCCCAGGGCCAGGCTGCAGATCCCGGAGGGCGAGGCCTCGGGAGCCTCTGGTGCTCTCCACTTTGGTGTTGCGGCCCTGACCGAGCGCGCATGCCATGAAAAAATAACGGGTTGCGACTCTGAAACCAAAAAATAACGAGAAAAGAAGACGGCACTCATTGCCTTACGCTGGTCCAGCAGCTGATCCTTGAGCGCGAGCAAGGTCTCGATGCGCTCGATATTGCCTCAGTCGGCACTGTTGGGTCAGATGGGATCTGAAAGGGAGCCAGTCTTTCTGCTCTCTTCAGAAATCCCAGCGCGGTCAGGCACGCCAGCCTCCGTTAGTTTGGTTGAGTTCTTCTGGGTGCGTCGTACAATTGGGAACCACGAACCTCCCCCTCTCCCATCTTTAGAACAAACAATTTAGCCAAGATGCCATCAATCTGCTCGCGCAACTCTTGACGCCTTCCGGCCAGGACACGACTTGAACACAACACGCAATCGCATCTTGCAAAAGGCTGTTCATACAAATGAAGCCAACCTCCAAAGTGCCTCTTTTGGATCTGTCGCCAAGGGCACCAAGGGTTCCCCCTTAAAGCATCCAATCAAGAATCTCTGGCAGGAGGGCACGACATTCGCACCTTCTCCGTGCTGTGTTCCCGAAAAGTGGGGTACGGCTTCCAAGAAATTTAAGCATAGTGACAATATTACCACTAGGGTCTACTGCAACTGGTTGCTCACAAGAGTCACAAACACAGTTGCCTGTTTCCCTAAAAGGATATGGCAAATCTGCGTTTTGCGAGATGTTGGCTTGCACCCGGCGTCCTCCCTGAACTGACCGTGCGAAACAAGAATACTGTCAGTTCTCATCCATGCAGGGTCAAAATCAGTTCTGCGGATCTTACTAAGAACCTTACAATGGGAATCTGAATTCCCTCTTGTGGGGTCCTTGACTGTAGGGAAAGCACATGGGTGTTTTTAAGGCTGCCATTTCTTTTCAATTCGCCTTCTTCTGGGGCAACCAAAGAAAACCAAGCAAAAAACAAGTTCTGCGAATTGCTCATCGAATTCTGCGCCTGTATCCATCCACTCGGTCGATGCGATTCTTGGCTTCGCGGACGTCCATGAGGTGCAGGTGCTGCTCCTGGCGCCCGCTCATCCACCTCATCCAGTGTTTCAAAATACAGATGAGCTGACACCCAGGGCTCCTTTTATAAGTCGGACCCGACCAGCGAGCGAGCCCCCCTAACATCCCAGGCCTCGCTTCTGAGCTGCCTCTGCTTCTGCTCGTCTTCGCGGCGCTTGGAGACCTTCTGGATGCGCTCCTGGAACCAATCCGCTCACTCGTCTCTTGGGGATTCTGTGTCCATGTAAACTTGGGGGGGGGTGTCTTTGTTTCGGGGACCACAATGGTTCCCTTTTGAGCAAACACCCAAAATGGGGTACCCCGAAAAAAGAGAGGGCTGGGGACTGTGGCAGTGCACTTGTTGATAGATTTCGATCTGCGTGTATGCAAGCCTGTATCTGTTGTTTGCAGTTGCTGCGCTCATGTTGAGCTCCATTTGAAGAAAATGTGTGAAGTATTCTATTGAACAAACAGGAAATTCCGCGAAAAATGTAGTTTAAAATAGAAGGATTGTTATTTAATTACCAACTTAACATGGAAATCCTGCATCATGTCAATGTTTTCTGTATTATGTTTTAGTCAATGTCAGTTAGAATTGAGTAGAATTTGATAAAGACAAAGCAGAATGCCAGAAGGAAAGAATTCAGAGGTCCGAAAATCGTGCTTCCCCCTAGCCCCAGACCGAAAAAAATAAACGTGTTTTGTAGCGTGGTTCACACTGAATTCGTATCTCCACCAATGGTCGCTTTTTAATTCATAGTTTAAAGAAAAATGATCGGAATCCTATTGAAAATTATTCTTAAATCAAGAATGTAGATCAAAACAATTTTCTCATTCAATGTGAGTTTACTTGGAATTTGATGAGGAAATTATGCTTTTTCTATTTGGTGGTTTGAATTGAGGATTGAATTGTCGTTTGGTGATGAAGGAGCGATGTCCCATTCACCATCTCCAAACCACCAATCCAAATCACCGAGAACTAGTCCGATCAGAATGTCTGTTTGAGACTAGCATCGAAATGAGAATTTTGTGTATGTCAAATTATCTTTACAATTCAATTGACACTTAGACACAATTGATCCACAACGAGCTGAACTCGAATTGCTATATTGAGCTGGAATCTTAAGCAGGAACTCCTTTCAATGCAACCAAATCCACTGGATAATCGGCCCTGCCCATAGCCAAACGCAAAAAAGAAACGAGAAAACCAAAAGAACAAAACCAAAGATTAAAAAAGAAAACATAAAACAGAACTCTTGGCACAGTGAGTGGCTGCGTCTTCTGTTTTTTGCTTTTTTGCTGTTTCGGTTTGCTTAATCCAATGCAAAGACTGTAAAAATCGTGTGGTTTTTGTTTGCGCGTTGATGTTTTGGGAACACGGGAATGCATTAGCACAGCAAAAAAGACAAACAACACACAAAAAAAAAATAAAAAAGATGAACACACAATTTGCACAGGTCCAAACAACACGAAAGCATGCACTGCAGCGCCGTTTGTTCGGCACAAAAACACAAACCCATTTGCAGAGACGAATGCCGAAGGCCGTGCCTCAATCCTTTGCAGCTGCCTCTCCCCGTCGATGCGCCGCTCCTTATAGGCGGGGTATGAAGCTTGATTGGACATGGACAAATTTGGGGATAGCCCATAGGCCCACCAAACATGGAACCCAGGTGAGGAAAGTTGTTCAAAGACATCGGTGATGGGGCAAAATCCTATGATGCAAGGCTCCTCCTGAAGCAACTCCGTCTTCTCCTGGCAAGTCGGCCATAACGTCCCTCGGACCCGTTCTATATCCCTAAATGCTGTCCCCGCATTGGTTGGTCAAATTGGCTGGTCCCCAAGGTGGTGCTTTCCCGGAGAACGAGCATGCTGTAAGCCAGTTTCAGACAAAGCCTCGTTGTTGCCGGGCGTGGCATGAGTTTCAAACTGAGGGGGCATTCCGGTGGATGTCGCCTTTACCGAAGATTCATAACTTTTTGCAGTGGTCACATCCATGGCCGTTTCCCACGGGTGTCATCCCAGAGAATACCAAAACCAAGACCCATTCAACCCCCCATCCGAAAGCGAGGACCCAGAATACTCAAACCTCAAAAGCTGCCCCACTTCATCTTGGGTCAGGCGACTCCCCCAAACCCTTTTAACTCCCACTCAACCCTTGCTCAGTTTGGGACTTGAGAAAACCTTTTCTCTTCCCCTCGATGTCTCGATTGGGGCCGATGGCCCCTTCCGCCTTCATGTCCTTCACCCGATCGCGGAACTGGGAGGTCTTCTCCAGGTTCAGCAGCTTCCGCTCCTCCAAGAACCTCCGCTTAGGACCCAGACAGATCCAGACTCCACCGGCTCATTCGGGACGGTGATCGATGGATGAAAACCCCTCATGTCCTATCGGGCCCATCTTTTTGGCTCAGAAGCATGAGTGGTGTTGTTTTTGGAAGGACACCAAACTTTGGGGCTTGGCCCCAGGCGACTGCAGTCGTTCCTCTTCAGCCAGCATCTCTTTTGCATAGTTGGCCTGAAAAGTGGCGCGCAACTTGAGCTAACCCGGCAGTTTGGCTAGGTGTGGACTCCCCAATAAACCTGCAGGGCGGCCAGCCGAGCCTCAATTAGTGGTCATCCAAGACTGTGTCTCTGTCCTTCCTTGTCAAGGAGTTCTAACACCTGCCTTCGGCCTTCTTCTGCTTCCTATTTCTGATAGTACTGCAGAAAAGCCATCTTGCTAGGAAATAGTGCTCTTTGTCGGCGCTTTTCACACAATCCCTCCCAAGGCCAGCAGTCGCGATAGCAAGCCGCCTGCTTCTCCTGGTGATCCTTCTCCAGCTTCGTGACCGCCTCCTGCAAGTTCGAAACCCTCCGCTCAAACACTCGGGTTTGGGCAAAATCACGGACCCGTTTTCGAACCGAATCAAACAGTAATTCCTGGCCTATTTCACAGACCCAGCGCAACACGAGTCTCCTTGTTCTGCACCAAGCGCTTGTCCAGGACTTCCCTCCAATTCCACGTCAGAAACCGAAGAAATACGTTGCCATCCCGGCCTCGAGACTTTCGCCTTCTCCTCCAACTGCTTCGTGACCTTGTCCCTGACCAAAAGACTTTCGATGGGTGAATCCCTGAAAATTCGCGGCTTCAAGAACCAGACCTGTCCATTCTTGTCGCGCCTGGCTTCATCCACCTTCAACATCTTCTCCTGCTGGCGCCCCTCCTTCTGCAGCTGTTCCTCGTTCTCCTCGCGAGCTGAAATGGTTGTCTTTGTTGGGGAACACCATGTTGGTCGGTGTTTGAGAGAAGCCAAATGGAAAATATTTCAAGGGTTCCTTGATTTTGAAACAGACCCGACTGTAGTTCCCTGTTTTACATTTGTATCATTCAAAAAGGGACCCTCCAACTGTCCTTCACTAGGGAGCTGTGCTGGCGCAGCTGGCCCTGGCAATTCAAATCTTGACCACTGAACAAACGGAGGCTTCGGCCCAATGATCAGAACCGGTGCCCACCTTCATGTCGATCTCCATGCGTTTCGCCTCTTTCTCAAAGAGCGACTCCAGCATCGACAGAAACTGCGCAGGAGCCGTTTGTTTTGTGCCTTCGCCCTGTACAATGCTACAGCTTTGTTCTTCTCCAACAAGGTCAAGCAAGTCTCGCAAGCTCGCCTGGGCGCTTTGCCCTCCCGGCAAGTCCCCTTTCTTGGCATTCTCTGCAATAACCTGCGGCCGTAAGCTCTCAAATTGCCATACCATACTACTTACACGGCCACACTGAAGTCACAAATGCTCGTGGTCAATGAGTCACAATGGTTCCCACTTGTAATGAATGGGCTTGTGCTTTTTCGAGCGCCGCCTTGGCCCTTTCGGCAAGCACCTGGGAGAAGCGCTCCTGTGCGAAGCCGCTGCCGTTCCCGCACCCAGCAAGCCCATCGCAGCCGATGGCCCCCGCGCTTTGGGGCTGGGAGTCTCGTCTTCGAGTTGGTAACCTTAAGGGTCCAAAGGGAAACCTCGTGCCTATTTTTGAGCGTATTTTGAGACTGACAGGTACAGGATATCATGTCTTGATTGCCGAAGGCAGGCTTAAACCCCTGAATGTTTAGTTAACATGGAAACATAAAGCGTCTGCCTGATTGCGAAGCGAAGGAAGTGGGTCCGGCAATGCAAATGCGACTCGCAGTCCTTCCGCTTCTTCTCATAGTGCTCGAAGCGCAGCTGGTGCTTCTCCTCGCATCGAGCGGAAAATGCAAAACAAGCACAGCGGAAAGGGTCCAAGCCACAGGACCGCTCCTTTAGGTCGCCAGGGATGTAGAAGGATTCGAAGGATCGAATCCTGGGCACTGCTCCGGCCCCTTCGGGCTCAATCAGCAGCTAGTTGACAGCTCAAGCTAGCTCTCAATGAAACGGCAGGCAGTGGCGGGCGGCAGTTTTCTGGACAGTTTTATTCGTCCAAACTCTAATATGCCCTCTTGCCAAGCCAAGTCCGCCCCCTCGCCCAACATCCCCCCAAAATCCACAAAAACAGGTGTGTGCACTGAGGTGCTCGCTGCAAATCCTCTGGCACTAGGCCAAGCCTACGGCAGGCCTGAGTTCAAGACATTTCCCCAGGCTCGACTCACGGCCAGACGCACCTCTCTGGTTCGCGGTGTGTCAAGAGGCTTCTGCTGATCTGCCTTGAACCTCGGATTCGAAGTTCCAGCCAATCCCCACCCGAGGCAAAGGCGGCAAGGCGCATACGAGGCTCAGCGCCCTGCTCTTTCTCGCGTGCATTATTCCCGGCCACAGCAAGCTCCTGCGGCTGTACGGTCCATCTCCAGATCAAGTGCCGAACGGCGCGCCTTGCCCGACATGGCGTGAGCCCGTGGCTTCCGCAAAGGGGGCGACGGGTTTCCTTCGCCCCTCAAGCCCCAAAGTTCTGGTGTTGTGCTAGTTGGAAGCCTGGCTGTGACGGCCCAAAGCTGCCGCTTTCCCGGCCATTCCCCGGGAAGTGAGGAAGTGACACCGCTGCGAGCCATATGCAAAGTCCGAACATTGCCGGCTTTGGGGCATCTTCCACAAAGTGATCTGCGCACAACGGAACGACCAAAGTGTGAGATCAAAACTCCTCGACAATAGCAGGCAAGCCCAAGCTAGTGACTTGAGCACCACTCCCATCCGAAAGTCGTTCGGCTCAGGCATTGCATGTTGCAATGCGCTTTGCCCTGTGCGTATCTCTCTTGTGCACGGCCACAAAAACGGTACAGCCAAACGGCCTGTGACGCTTCTCGCACCTGGAAAATGCTGTGCAAACAATTCCTGGAGCTTCTTCGAGCTCTCACGGCTTTGAGCCACACATGCTTTCAATGTTCTCGTGACAGAACATCTCCTCTTTGTCCTGAGCCGGGAACATGCCATGCTAGAAAGCTTTGGGCATGCTGTTGCGAATGCCGAAGGGCGCAGTGGCCGAAGGTTTTGCAGATCAGGTCAAAGTCTGCTGCGTAAACCTGGCGTATGGAATCTCATGAGCTCCCGCACCTGTGACTGACTAACGCTAATGTTTCGAAGCTGCGTCTTCACATCATCCAAAGGTCGAGCGTGTTGAAAACACGACCGTTCGGACCATTGGTGCTCGCACACTGAAGTTTTGGGCTGGAACTGGCGTAGCAATCTTTATCAGGGCACAGCCAATGAGGCCGACGGAATCGGAAACGGTGACCTGATTCGAGCTTTTTTCAAGAATTCGCAGAAGCTACATATTTGGCAAGGGTCCCCTCATGCTAAAAGCAATGTGTGCGAGTGTCCTTCTGGGATTCATAACTACCGAAGATGCTCCAATAATTTCTGCTCCAATGCACACTTCAAATGAGCATGCAATCTCAAGCTGGATGGGGAACAACCAAAGCTACCTTGCCTGCCACAGGTGATAAATTTACGGATCCCAAGCCTGTCTGATGAGCTGCTTTGTCTCCTCATTCAGAGAGTAGGCAGAGACATCGTTGCACCAAATATTGTGCATCGTGCTGCCCATGCCTTGGACGCATCAAGCCATGAAAGTGTCGCAGACTGTTTGTCATTCAACAGTCTCCTCTGACATGGGATGTGTCTTGCCAAGCTAGCGCTTGCTTAGACATCACTTCTGTTGTGCGCGCTGTTTTTGCACCGAAGAGCGGGGCTGGGCATTGTGGGACTCCATATATTGATTGAAGCTTTCCTGGGCACATCGATGCAAACGGAGGCAACCCCTCGCAAGGAAAAAGCCGTTCATGCTCGAAGCTATCTTTCAACCATCTGTCGCACCAAGTTGCAGGGATGAAGCGCTCATCAATCCACTCAATCGGCCCATACGGAGTTGATGCAAACTCTGACGACGGCAAGAGATGGCAATTGTCCCTGCGAGATTTGAACAAATGGCCAGGCTTGAAGGTCCCAGAAGTTTGCGGAACGAACCCTCATGGCATGTGGAGGGATTACTTGCTCCCACACGATTGGGATCACTTGCGCCCATGGGATCACTTGCGCCCATGGGATCACTTGCGCCCATTTCTAAAAAGGCGTCACTTATGCCCATAAAGAAGGATCACCTGCGCCCATGGTCATTTGCAGTGCTGTGGCGGGTGTGGGCGGGGAGGGGGCGGAATAGCGTGCACCGCCCAAGCAGCTGTGCCATGCTTGCGGCCTGTGCGGGCGGGGGTGAGGGCAGGGGGGGAGGGGGGGGTAATAGCGTGCACCGCCCAAGAAGCTGGTCTGTGCTGCGCTGCGCTCCGCTGAGAAGCTTCTCCAACCAAATCTTGTATTTCTGAACCGAAAACCTAAACCAAAAACAACCCAAAACCAAGCCACACCATTCCAATCATTCCCGAGCACAACCCAGTCTGAACTGGTGCAACTGGAAACCTCCTGTTTCCAACCAAAGCTCGTATTTCTGAACCAAAAACCTAAACCAAAAACAGCCCAAAACCAAACAACCTTTCTGAGCTAAAACTGAACTGTATTTCCGCAACCGCCAAATCGTTCCACGATTTCTCACGCACACGATGGCGCAGGCTCGCTCAAGAGACCAAGCAAAAGCAACACATTGGGCCAAATCTGTCAAAGCGTGGAGGCGGTTCTGGCTTTGGTTGTCCATCTATAGAGCCACGTCCGTAGAAGCCATGTGGGTTTATTTTGTCAGGGACCCACCACAACGGCAGCGGTTTCCCTGCTAGTTTCCCAACTTACAACCAACCCAAAACGGCCCCTTAGAATGGGAGAGAAACACAGTGCGCCGCACAGATTCAACAAGAGACGGGCACAAGCGACCCCAACCTGACGGGCACAGGCGAACCCCCGACCCTCATGGCAAGGCCTTGCCTGAAGCGGTCCCCGGCCAGATACTTCCGCAACCTGGGCGCCCCTCAGCCCCCCTTGGCCTACTTGCCGGAAGCCCAAACGGCCAAGTGGCTCTGCTTGCAGGTAGCCGTTGACGTCGCATTCTCGGTAGAAGCGCTGATACTCTTCCTGGGATCCACGGATCGGCGTGCAGTTCAGTCGCGCTCACCAAATTTCGGGACAAGGCACCCCTTCTCGCTCCAAATTTCCTGGGTGCGGTTCCCGGTTCCCACACCCAGTGCCTTTGAGCCAAGCACAAGTCTCCCAGGCCTTCTCGTGCAGAGACGTCAGCCCGGGTTATGCCCAAAAAGGCGGAGTCTATGTATCCGACCTGCCTGCCAAGGGAGACAGATCGGGCCATTGTGCACTGTACACATGGCTGACGGCTTTGAGAACTCCCACCTTCTGGGAACGGAGAACAGAGCAACGAGCTACTGCGTCACGCGCAAACACGTTGCTAACCACGCAAGATTACGGCAACCAATGACCCAAGGATAAGAATTAAACCAGTAGTCTGTCATGTCAGGGTGCATGCGGAACTCGTTGGCCATGCGATCATAAGGATCCTGAGCCAGCATGCAAGCAAAAATTCAACTGCTGCCAGCACGCCCCGCGCATTCCCATGTGCATCCCCTGCCCTACTCGGAACCGACCCATTCATTCGTGCGTGCATCCCAAACGTCACAACCGCCCTCGGGAGCCGCCCCGCGCAAACCTCGCAACCGCACTGCGGGATGATTCCCGGACTCCTCCTCGGACCCGCCGACGCACCCCCCCATGCATCCCTTGCCCCGGACCACCCCGGAGCCTCTCTAAAAAATGGAAAAGTAAACTGAACCACGGGTCCCAAAAGCATAACATATCGCGAGCGTTGATTTCGAGCAGTTCTGTTTTCATACGTTTTTGCCAGGTGCTGCAGCATGTTTTGTCTGTGCCGACGCTTGTCAATCAAGCCAGAAAGCGTCGTAATTACACGACCACGCAAAACACCACACAATGACCCTCGCGGACTGAAAAAGTAGCTACTCTTTCGCCATTGCCTCCTAAAAAGCTGGAACTGTTCTCAACGCAAGTTTTTTCTGGGCGAGCGCAGGTGCGTTGCGGAAGGCCGCGCGGGCGCTGCAACAAGTGGCAACAACCTTGAGCTTTTGCATAAATCGAGCACGCCATTTTTCGCAGGTCGCGCGCGAGCCGCAAAAAGTGGCAGCACTCATTTGTGTGAACCTCGACCACGCAGGGGGTGTCATTTCGCAAAGTAGGTTGAAAGACTAAGTTGAATTTCGAGTCCACATTTCTCGCAAGATGTCTAGTGCGAGCTTTCTCGTGCAATTTACCAATTTGCTTTGGCTTGTCCGATGGCTTCAGGCTGCCAGGCGGCCCTCAGCAAGGAGAAAAGCGTCTGATTCCGCAGAGTCTTCTCGGCAATCTCACTGGGCCAGTACTTGGGGGGCGTGTAAAACCTGAGCAGACCATCACACTGCCGGCCGTGAAAAAGAGAGAAGGGCAAAGCCGCGGTTTGCTTGGTGCATTGGCTTGGGGTCCGAGGCGTCGGCAGGTTGCAGCCTGTGATCTCAGAGACGCCCTGAAGGCCGGGATGGAGCTCCGCCCAGGAGATGCCCCCCTCCTTCTCCACATGCGCAATGGCAGCCTAGCGAGGCCCGGCTCTGAGAGATGAGAGGGGCGTGGAGGACCGGGGCCCGCACCAAAAGCCCGCCTCGATTACAGGCGCGCGAGAAAGCACGCCTCTTTTTGGTGCTTCGAAACGTGGCGCGAAAGAAAGAAGGCAAAGTGAGAAAGAGTGAGATCTGTTTCCCCGCCATTTCCTTCGAGCCACCAGCACCAGCTTCTTCGACCGTGTGGCCAAATGTGCAGGGGATGTGAATAAACCTCGGGTCATCTGCGATCAATCTCACGCGGGGCATTGCAAGGCAAACTCAAGCCAAGGCGCTGCAAGTTTGTGTTGTGCTTGCCCTGGCCATGGTTCTGGAGACATGCAGAAAACGACAACTAACTGTGGCTGATTGACTTGCTGGCTCTTAAAGTAGGCACAAGCGTGCTGCCCAAAGATGCTTTCTTCGAAGGCCTGCAATTGGCTACCAGAAAGCAAACCTGCCTGCTGCAGAAGGGCTTCGGCCCTCGGCAAATCACTTCTTTATGCCAGGTGACTCGCACTTGTTCTGCAACAAGGAAGCTGGTTCAGCAGAAGTTGCAGCCTAGTATCACGGTCGTTGTGGTGGTGGTGGTAGTGGTGGTGGTCGTGGTAGTTGTTGTAGTGGTGGTAGTTGTGGTAGTTGTGATGGTTGTGGTGGTGGTAGTTGTGGTAGTCATGGAAGGGGTGGTAGTGGATGTTGCGGCGATGGTAGTGATTGCCGTCGGTGTGGCATCTGTCGCTGCATCCGTCGGCGCTACTGTTGTCGTTGCTGCAGCTGTTGTTGGTGCTGCCGTAGTCGATGCTGCGGCTGCTGTCGTTGTCGGTGCTGCCATTGTCGTTCCTGCCATTGTAGTTGCTGCAGTCGTTGGTGCTGCCGTAGTCGATGCTGCGGCTGCTGCAGTTGTCGGTGCTGCCGTTGTCGTTCCTGCCGCAGTCGACGCTGCCGTTGTTGTTGTTGCTGCAGCTGTCGTTGGTGCGGCCGTTGTCGACGCTGCAGCTGCTGCCGTTGTCGTTGCCGCAGCAGTCGTTGGTGCTGCCGTTGTCGATGCTGCAGCTGCTGCCGTTGTCGTTGCTGCAGCAGTGGTTGGTGCTGCAGTTGTCGATGCTGCAGCTGCTGCTGTTGTCGGCGCTGCCGTTGTCGTTCCTGCCGCTGTCGTTCCTGCCGCTGTCAGCTCTGCCATTGTCGTCGCGGCAAATGTCATTGGTGCTGCCGTTGTCGATGCTACAACTGCTGAAGTTGTCGGCGCAGCCATTGTAGTTCCTGCCGCTGTCGGCGCTGCCGCTGTCATTGCCGCAGCTGTCGTTGCCTCAGCTGTTGCTGCCTCAGCTGTCGCTGCCGCTGCCGTTGTAGGTGCTGGATTTGCCGGCGGAGCTGTCGGCACATCTGCCTCTGTTGCAACCGCCTTGGCTCCAGAACTAGCGACCTCTAATTTTCTATTGGCACCTTTGCGAGCTCTCTGAGACGTCCCGAAAATCAAAGCCAAATCAAAGTGACGCCTTTCAAGCAACTCAACCTGTCGGCATATCACCAACGCCAGGCAAAGGCGCGACTTGTTGCCAAAAAACAAGCAGGAGACCTTTAGCTGGACAGTGCGCAATGCGGGTGATGCTGCTGATGCTGCTGATGCTGCTGATGCTGCTGATGCTGCTGATGCTGCTGATGCTGCTGATGCTGCTGATGCTGCTGATGCTGCTGATGCTGCTGATGCTGCTGATGCTGCTGATGATGCTGATGCTATGAGCAGTGCTGATACTAATGCTTGGATGGTAAACTGAAAAAAACAAACAACACGTTCTGGAGGGAATTTCAGAAGTAGGGTAGAATGGGAGGTTTGCAGATTGAGCGCAGGCACTCGGGTCACAAGAAGAACCTGCAACACACGGCCAGTTGCAATCCACGTTGTGTAAATGATTGGGTGATACAGTGATACAGGCCAGGCTGCGCATGGCAAAATAATGATCTGCGCGCATCGCACAAACAGCCAAGGCACCGTCGTGGTTGCGGCAGCAGAAGCCGGAGCTGAGGGTGCTGGCGCATCGCTTGCAGTGGCTTCGATGGCTGGTGCGGCCTTGGCCGCGGAAGTGGTGGAAGTTGTTGGGCTGGGCGTTGCTGCGGCTGCCAACGGTGTGGTTGTGTCTGGAGACGGGACGCGTGTTGACGAGATGTCACTGATGGATGTATTGTTTAATGCTGCTGCTGCCGCTGCCACTTCATACGCCACCTTCATTGCTTCATCATCGAGACCCTTGCTAGTAGTCGATGTCGAAGAAGTCTGCACCGACCAAGAACAAGTGGATTGTGTCTCAAACGAGCGGGGGTGTCCCTTAGCAACTCCGGCTACACAAGACATGGACCCCTCAAAAAGGCCTCAGCACCTTAGGGTTGGAGAAAAGCCCTTGACCTCAAAAAGGAAAAGTTGCAACCCATTTTCAGGTTAGACCCTCCATGCCTTTCTGGCTCAAAATGACTGGACGCCAAAAGGTGACCGGTGGCAGTTGCATGGGATTCCTGAGAAAAAATCTGGGCAGTTTCTTGAGGGGTCCTGTAAATCTATATGTTTAGTGTTTTTTTTCTGTGCGCGGTTCCTTCCCCCCGAGCTTTGCCCACTCCCAGAATTTCTCCCCCAGACGTGCTCAACAGCGGGGCCCTTTGAACACAACTTCCCCATAGGTATGAGGTACGAAATACGTGTCCAATAAAAAGACTTAAAATGACTTCTTCTGGCAGCTGTAAACACAAACCCAAAGAGGCCCACCAGTTTGAGAAACTCCGCGGGCTCCTGCTGGTGGACTGGGGGAATGGTCAGGCCCTGGTCGTCCTGAGCACAAAAGGCACCTCTCCGTCCAAATTAACGCACGCAGCAATGAAAAAGGCTGTTGCGCGTTGTGTGTGGGTGCTGCATGTGTTGTGATTGTGTTGTCTGTGTGATTGTTGTGTGTGTGTGTGTGGGGGTGTGTGGTGTGTGTGTGTGTGTGTGTGGTTGTGCTGTGTGTGGGTGTGTGCGCGTGTGCTCTGTGTGTGTGTTGTGTGTCTGTTGCGCGTGTGCTGTGTGTTTGCGTTGTGTGTGTTGTGTGTGTGTGCGTGCTGTGCGTGTGTGTTGTGTGCGTGTGTTGTGTGCTGTGCGTGCCTGCGTGTGCGTGTGTGTGTGCTTGTGTATGTGTTTTGTATTTGTGTTGTGTGTGTGCTGTGTATGTGTTGTGTGTGTGTGTGTTGTGAACGTGTGTTGTGTGTGTGTGTGTACGTTGTGAGCGTGGTGTGTGCTGTGTGAGTGGCGCGTCTGTGTGTGTGTGTGCGTGGGTGTGTGTGTGTGTGTGTCTGGGTGGGTGTTTCTGTGTGTTCTGTTGTGTGTGCTTTGCGTGCGTCGTGTGTGTGTGTGCGTTTGTTGTGTGAGTTGCGTGCACGTTCTGTTGTATGTGTGTATGTGTGCGGGCTTGCGCGCGCGCGTCCATGTGTGTGTGCGTGCGTGCGTGCGGGCGGGCCGGCGGGCGGGCGGGCGGACGGGCGGGCGGGCGGGCGGGCGGGCATGGGCGTGTGTGTGTGTGTGTGTGTGTGTGTGGGTGCGAGTGTCTGTGTCTCTGTATGTGCGTGCACGTGTATCTGTGTGCGCGCGTGCCTGCGTGCGTGCGTGCGTGCGTGCGTGTGTGTGTGTGTGTGTGCATTTGTGTGTGTATTTGTGTATTTGTGTATTTGTGTGTATTTGTGTGTGTATTTGTGTGTGTATTTGTGTGTATTTGTGTGCATTCGTGTGTGTGCATTTGTGTGTGTATTTGTGCATTTGTGTGTGTGTATTTGTGTGTGTGTGCATTTGTGTGTGCATTTGTGTGTGTGTGTGTGTATTTGTGCGTATTTGTGTGCATTTGTGTGTGTGTATTTGTGTGTGTGTGTTTTTGTGTGTTTGTGTGTGTGCATTTGTGTGTGTATTTGTGCGTGTGTATTTGTGTGTGCATTTGTGTGTGTATGTGTGTGTGTGTGTGTGTATTTGTGTGTGTATTTGTGCGTGCATTTGTGTGTGCATTGATGTGTGCATTTGCGTGTGTGTATTTGTGTGCACTTGTGTGTGTATTTGTGTGTGTGTGTGTGCATTTGTGTGTGCATTTGTGTGTGTATTTGTGTGTGTGCGCGTGTGCGTGTGTGTGTGTGTGTGTGTGTTTGCGTGTCGGTGGGTGCGTGTGTCTGTGTGTGTGCGTGTGAAGAATTCATGTTGTGGGTGTCTGGGTCTGTGTGTGTGCGCGTGTGTGCGTGCGCGCGAACGCTTCCGTGCCTGCGCGCGTGTGCATATGAGCGTGTGCGTGTGTGTGTGCGTGCGCGCGTCTTTGCGCAAGTGTCTATGCGAGTGTGTGTGTGTGTGTGTGTGTGTGCGTGCGTGCGTGCGTGCGTGCGTGCGTGCGTGCGTGCGTGCGTGCGTGCGTGCGTGCGTGGGTGTGTGTGTGGTTGTGTGTGTGTGTGTGTTTGCGTGTCGGTGGGTGTGTGTGTGTGGGTGCGTGCGTGCGTGCGTGCGTGCGTGCGTGCGTGCGTGCGTGCGTGCGTGCGTGCGTGCGTGCGTGCGTGTGTGTGTGTGTGTGTCTGCGTGTGTGTGTGTGTGTGTGTATGTGTGTGTATGTGTGTGTCTGTGTGTGTGTGTCTGTGCGTGTGTGTCTGTGCGTGTCTGTGTGTGTCTGTGTGTGTGTCTGTGCGTGTCTGTGCGCGTCCGTGTGTGTGGCTGCTTGTCTCTGCGTGTCTCTGTGTGTCTCTGTGCGTCTCTGTGTGTGTATGTCTGTTTGTGTGTCTGTGTGTCTGTGTGGCTGTGTGTGTGTGCCTGCATCTGTGGGTCTGTGTGTTTGCGTGTCTGTGTGTGTGTGCCTGTGTCTGTGTGTGTCTGTGTCTTTCTGCATGTGTGTCTGTGTGTGTGTTTGTGTCAGCGCGTTTGTTTGTTTATGTGCGCGTGTGTGCATTTTTGTGTTTGTGTGTCTGCGCGAATGCTCTCTGCGTGTGTGTGTTTGAGTATGCGTGTGTCTCTGTGTGTGTGTCTGCGTGTGTCTGCGTGCGTGCGTGTATGCGCATGTGTCTGCGTGTCTCTGTGTCTCTGTGTGTCTCTGTGCGTCTCTGTGTGTGTGTCTCTGTGTGTGTGTCTGTGCGCGTGTGTCTGTGTGTGTGTGTTGTCTGTGTGTGTGTGTGTGTGCGTGTCTGCGTGTCTGCGTGTCTGTGTGTGTGTGTGTCTGTGTGTGTGTCTGCGCGTGTTGTGTGTGTGTGTTTGTGTGTCTGTGTGTGTGTCTCTGTGTGTGTGTGTGTCTCTGTGTGTGTCTCTGTGTCTCTGTGTCTCTGTGTCTCTGCGTCTCTGTGTCTCTGTGTGTGTGTCTGTGTGTCTGTGTGTGTGTCTGTGTGTGTGTTTGTCTGTGTCTCTGTGTCTCTGTGTCTCTGTGTCTCTGAGTCTCTGTGTCTCTGAGTCTCTGTGTGTCTGTGTCTGCGTGTCTGTGTGTTTGTGTGTCTGTGTGTCTGTGCGCTTGTGTGTCTGTGTGTCTGTGTATCTGTGTGTCTGTGTGTCTGTGTGTGTGGGTATGTGTGTGTGTTGTGTGTGTGTGGGGGGGGTGGGTGTGTGGGTGTGTGTCTGTGTGTGTGGGCGTGGGTGTGGGTAGGCGTGTGTGGGTGTTTGGGTGTGTAGGAGTAGTCGGGGGGGGGCATGCCTAGCAACAATTGCTTTCACAAGTCCGCCCCCCACCCTACAACTTGTTTCATGTTTTCAACGCACAAACATCTTCACCCCCCTCGGGCAGAACTTATTTTCTAGAAATCAATGCAGGCACCGCAATATGTTCTTTTCATCTCCCAAAAATCAAAAGAACATACCAACACAATTTTTCTACATCAGTTTTTCATTTGTCTATGCATTAATACTTTAGATGACTTTTATAGAAGTCTTCTCTAATGTGTTTTGTACATATGGCACACTCAATCGTTTTTACAGGGTGTAATTCTTCCTCTCGTGCCTTAAGATTTCGTAAGTGCTTCAGCGTTTCTTCGTGTTTTGCTTTCCTCGCACTTTTTATCATGCATTTACACACTTCGCATTCTGCCTTTTTTTTGCCTGCCTCTCGTTGTTGAGCTAAAACTTTGTCGCATGATTTTGTACCCTCTTTGAAATCACTTATTATCATATTTTCCTACATCTCGGGCATCTTTTCAGCTCGCTTTCCATTGCCGTATAATGCCCTTTGTTTCTTTACATATGTTAGGGCAGAAAATATGTATTTTATAAAAAAAACCTCCCTTCGTTTCATCAGTTTCAAATATTTTAATAGGCGTGGTCTCCCTGGTAGGATTTTATCTTCAATGTATAAAACGCTATACTTACAATAGAATTATAACATATAAGGGTATAAATGTTACAATGATAGTGTGGTTTTAATCATTATGGGTTAAAATAATAGTCAGGCAATATGTCTAATCTACATATTTATCTATATCATCTTTATCTATATATTTGATATTGTCTTTTCCTATTTTTGAATAAATATATTCCCAGAAAAACAAATTAACTAGTAGACATACTTTATATTTAGTGTTGTAGTAATACCATGTACTATATTTAGTTATTCTAAATTCATTCAAGACCTCGTTTATTTTGTCTTTACTTAATAAATGCCAATCAATCGCTTCAAACATGTCTCAATTTTTTTAGCAAATGATTTATATGGTTAAATTGCGTTTGTCCCTCCAAACCTCTTAATTAAATCTTCATTACTAAAGAATTTATCAATTTCTTTTTCAACTGACTTTCTGGAAATCTTATGGGAAAAGTGTATAGGAAATCTTGTTTGGTGTTGCATAAAGAATTTTAATTGTAATTGAAACTTTGTATATCCCTTATCCTTATGTTCTTCAACAAAAAACTGTTCAAGGTCTCTTGTTATACAGCATTGGTTACAATATACATCGTATTCACTTGTTTTATTGCATAGATTGACGGGAAATAGCTTATACAATGTTATATTAACATCATTCCTTCTAGTTTTACAACATTCGCACTTTGAATTATTAAATAGCATTTTCACTATAATATATATTTATAGTGTTTATTTCTTTAAACACTTTTTTACAAGAAATAATGTTAAATATTGAAATATAATTACAACATATAATATTCTACATGTTATTATTATAGTATGATGATAATTTCAGTTCAGGATAACTATTTAATTGATACATCTTACCTCTTTCATACATCATTTTAACAATAATATTACTATATCCCACTGTATTGTTAACATTAAACTTGTCACTTTCAATAAATAACTTGATATGTTCTTTAACATCGTCTCCTTCTTTTCTTTGATACTCCAACATCTTTAATATGTTCTCAATCATTTCATACTTTTCTTACTGATTTTAAGAAACTGTTTAACATAATCATGAGGATGAACCACATAGAAATATTAAAATATCATCTTCTACATTTCTATTATTTCTTCTTTTTATTCTCAACACACAATTGATTATATATTGAGTATCTCTCCATTCCTGACAAGTTCTACATACATCTTCTTCACCCAAAGCATAGTCAACAATATTATTCACTATACCATTAGGTAAATTCAATTTATATAATTCCATATTTTCTTTTTTGAAGTGGCAACAGTCGTGGCATTTCTTATTGGTATAATTTTTGATTTCGGTCTCCACCATTTCTATTATAATATATATAGTTTTTATTTCTTTAAATACTTTTTTCCAAGAAACTAATTTATACCTTTAATAACTCATGTCTCAAAAATGCCCTGTCAGAATTTTCAATATAATAATATTCCTGTCCTAACTTCTTTTCAATCTTTGCTATTTTGTAGG